GGGTATGTTGGGATGAGCTGTCGTTCTATCAGCTAGGTCGTGTCCACGTGTCCCTCTATTATTAGGTCGGGCCAAATCACCCTACATCAATTGCCCCCCCACTCCCCGGGCCTGGGGTCCTGACCTGGTGCGGGGAGTTTGTGACGAGCCAAGATCACTTCATGGCATGATTGCATCAAGATCACTTCAATTACCAGGCACCTTGGCGTCCGTAGCAGGTCGGACTCAGATGGCATTAGTTCGGGTAATATTGACCGACCTTCACATGATAACCCCGAAGATCTCGTCACTAGATTCCACGTTTTACGGGATCACGCCTCGTAACAGCTGGCCTTATCTCCTCTGACTGATTCAGACGGCAACGATATGCCTTATCGTCTAGCAATGTTATCTCCTATTAATTCGGTAACGGGCCTCGTCACGACAAGAATCCCAGAACTACTCCGAAAAACCCGCGAAGGCTCTAGTATATAAAGACCTCAACCCTTTGGGGGCAAATGTACGCGTAATCACTGCTCACTATCTTTCTAGCTTTCTAAATTACCTCCAACTTGGAAGTTACTGACTTAAATATCAGAGCGACCTCGCTGAGTAAACACCCCCGGGTTCTCTAATTCTCTCTGTGCAGATCTGTTTAATCCATCGTCTACTGAAAATCGAATCATCTCCAACTAGGAGCAGCCAGCCAAGTCATCTCCAACTAGGAGCAGCCAACGTCACATCACTTTTGTTTTCTGTTATTTGTATTACTATATTATTTTAGATTTTTTAAGTCATAGAATCCCTTCCCACTGCACCATTCTTCGGCCCACTCAAACTCCAACAAATCTATCAATAGACGAATCCCTATCACAGTGAAACAAGTCATTAAGTCCAGCCATTGAAGATTCTATAGTCCAACATTGCAGTCGAAAATTGCAGTGCTGAAGTTCCTTCCACTCACATGTGTGGTTAGATCCATTGCTTTGGTTTCTTCTGAAAGCCTCTCACGAGGTTTACCAATTACCACCCTGATGACAAGTGGTAGTACTTGTCTCTGACATGGTTGACACATTACTACTTCTTGGTTTCTCATTAAAGACTGTGTCTCACATTTCAATTCATGACTTTTTTGGTGCTTTAAATTAAGGAGATAGTGAAATGATCTGAAAATTGAACAAATCAGTCACATAGGCTCAAATTGGTTGAACCAGTTCAGAACTACTACTCTTCCATATTTTGTCCCACTGAGGCACTTTTATGTTGGCCGATGCATAGTGGGCCCTTCTCGATACAGCATATTGAGGCATTTTGCTGATCCATTGAGATTTCTTGACTCTTGTTGGCCCATGTTTTTTTCTTTTTGGACCAATATGGTCCATTTGTATTGGCTCAGGAAGCCAGCCCATGTAGGAAATTTTCATTGACCCAGTGAGATCTAGTATTGGCCTGATTTGGCCCATTTTAGTTTTGGCCCATGGTGGCCCATTTTTGGTTCTCTCTTCATCAAAGTAGTAAGTCTCTTCCTCTCATAATCAAATTCAGTCATCTCCTATTTTTCATGTCATCAACTTCATGGTAGGATGCAGTCATCAACAAGTGGAATTGGAGGATAATTATCAGATCCATGGGAAATATTTTTCAATAACCAGCCTTTGGAGGCTTTTGTTTTATTTTGAAGTAGAAGGAAAAGATAGACTAAGAATATCACCTTGCCATATCATCATGATAGCAGGATTGCAGTATTAGCCAGCATCATAGTTATCTTACTTGAGGGGGGTGTATTAAGGATAGAGAAATGATTGAGTTTGTTATGTTATGATAGAGTTTGAGATGGATTGAGATAAACGAATAGAACCAGTCTTAATTTATATTCACGTAATGCAACATTTCTACGTTTCTATATTATTTTACAATTCTCCTTTCTCACAGATGTGCATATTTATTTTTATATTAAATCATTAAAAACCTCATGGATCTTTACTGTCTCTCATAAAATCAATATTTAATCTCTAATAAATCTCTCTCTCTCTCTCACACACACACATACAACTTAATAGTCAATGTTTATAACATCTCCCCTCTCCATTAAATCCTTATTTTCCTCTTAAAGATTTCTTAATCCCTTTTGGCTCTCTCTAATGATGTAGGGTGTAAATTAGGTGGGTTGGGTTAGGTTAAGGGTCAACCTAAATATGAACCTTAGCTTGAACCCAAATTTGCCCATGAGTAAATGGGGTGAACCACTCTAAACAAATCATTGCTCATTTCCTTGGGTCATCAGGTTTTTCCCTCTATTTTGTTCATTTCCTTGGGTTCAGGTTTTTCTGCTTTATTTTTATTAATTTAATTTAATATAGATTTATTTAATGGATTCTTCTGGTTCAATAATAAAATGTAGTAAGAAAGAACTTAATGCGAGCTTTTTGTTATCTTCACCAGTCTAATTTTGAAATTGTATGTCTTTTTTAACTTTGGTTATTAAAATGCAAAGTATCACTCTCTATGGCTCCTCCAACTCTCAAAATAAAAAAAAAAAGAATGTTTATTTTTCTTTAAAACAAATCTGTAATAGATTCAAACCTTCTCTGTCCATTTTTTCTCAAAACCCTACCTCTTCTAATCCCTATCTCATTTTCTTCTTTAACATGGCCCCTCCAAAACTAATTGGGTGGTTATTCATCTTCCTCAAGTTATTGGACCAGGAGAAGAAAACCTTAGTAAGTTTGAATGAATCTTTGAATCTTAAGTTTAGGTGGGCCCTACTGGAGGCCAGCACCATGAATTTTCTTTTATGATGTTGATCCACTTGAAAATGTATTCATTCCATGCTTGGCCTTCCATTGCTTATGGAATGTCAACCTTCCACAAGCAATACATTGGTTATCACATACCAAAAATCCTTAAAGACTATATTTGGTTTGGAGAAAAATGTAGGGAAAGGAAGACAAAGGTAGGGGAGACCTACTAAGAGAACTCAAGAAAGTTGGAACCAAAGAAAGCCAAACACATCAACTGAACATGTTCCACACTTCCCAACAGGACTGAAATTGTTTGGTGCTTCCTGTAAAGTATGGCACAAACAAATGCCATCCCCTACTACCAAACACCAAAACCTGAAACTCATCAATCATAGCACAAATGCAAACCCTGTAGAACATAGATGAAAAAACAAAACCTAGTAAATAAATCTCAAATGAGAAAAAACTCAAATGAAATGCAAAAACAAAACAACGAAGGAGAACCCAAAGAGTTGTTGAAACTTACTGAAGCTCCACCATCACCACCTACTCTGGAAAAGGAGAGAGAAAGAAAGACAAAAGAGAAATGTTGTGTCTGTGAAACAAAACCAGGGATTCCTTCAAAACTTTCCCTGTTTGGTATTACTTATTTTAAGTACTTATTTTAAAATAGGTGGTGGAACCACACAATAGTAAGTGGAAAATAAGCACTTATTCACATTTAATGATACAAACCGATCAGATCAGATTTGAATCAAGGTATATCCGAATCTGATCTGACACTGTTACTTGCATATTCGATCCAATCAGATCTGAAAAACATGAATCTGAATTTGAATCCTATGAGGAAGTCAGATTTTTAGATCTGATCCGATCCAATTTGATTTTCTAAAAAGTAATAAATTATTAAAATAAAAACAAAATATAACAATTTAAATAAGAAAAAACAAAAACTACAAGTATCTTTTCAACTATTTTCATCATACATATACATGTTTTTTATAAAACAATAAACAATACAACAAATTTACAAAAATAAAATATAAATAATATATTTATAAATAAATAAATAATATATATAAGCATTATAAATATTTATATATATATATATAAATAAATAAATAACATATATATCGGATCGGATAGGGGGTGATCCGATTTCTGATCGGATCCAAAGATTGGAAATAGACCTATCCGAATCCGAGAAAATAGGATCGGTCTTTGGATTGGATTGGATTGGATTATGATCCGATCCATTTGCACCCCTATTCATGCTTGGCAAAAAAGCTAGGAATAAGTGCTTATTTCGAGAATAAGTGTTTAAAAAATAAGAAACTCTAGGGCTATTTATTTTAAGTGCTTATTTTTTTGTGGGATAAGATTATCCCTAAAAACTTTTAATATACCAATAATATCCCAATGAATGGAGAAAACCCTATCGTCTTCTCCATTTGCACAGGTACCTTGAAGCAATGGCAGGTGGTGTCCAGTAGGGTGACCGACGACTGGTTTTCCGACTTAGCACTCAGGTATGCAACGAATTTTGGAATTTCTTTTGTTCCTCAAGCATTTATAGTCCAATTTGGACTTGCTTTTTAGAAGTTTTCGATGTCTAAAACTAGATCTGCGGCATTTTTGCACTGATCTAGTTTTTGAAGCAAAAAAAGCACAACAAATCACCAATGACAATATGTAAAATTGTTTCTAACAACTTAATATGGTTCATTTAGTGTTTTTATTTTTCTTTTTTTCATATTTCTCTAATAATATGCCATTTACCATATTATTAGTTATGGTAATAGTGCCACATGTGTGACATGTGGGCCCACATGTGGTTCCGTGTGAGTCTGAGACAGGTAGGGCAGTAATTTTTATGGAAATGAACAAAATAATATTCAAAAACCAACATTTATATTCATTTGTAAAGTAGGGAAGAGGACTTGATCAAGCACTGTGTGTGAAGGATCTCATTCAACTTGGAGGTGCCAATTCATCCTAGAGGGGCAAAAGAGGATAAACAGTTTTCAAACAGATACATCCATAGAGACTGAGAAAGTAATCAAGCATTCAAGCTACAAACAAAGGTCATGATCATGAGAAGTCTATGAACCAAAACTTTAAATAGAAGTTAGAGCTATATTTATTGTATGGATGGATATTGCTGGGATAGAATCAATCACCCCAGCACCCTTTGCTTGATGTTATCTTCCTTTTGAAACAAGAACAATGCATCCAAGGCTATATGATTTCATGATTTTAGTCCATCCCTACTGTAAAAACTAAGGCAAAAGGCAAACGCAGAATGGCTCTATTTAACTTCATTCATAATAGGCTATACCATTTTAACTCAGTGACTGAAGTTGAACTCTCCAGAGTGAGAGTGAGTGCTACATATGTCCACCAGAAAGACAAAGCTAAATAAATATAGGGAACGAGAACTTCTTACAACGAACCAAAATAAAACCAACATCCATATCCACTCAATATTTCCTTTTATATAATATATATATATATATATATATATATATATATATATATATAGATATGGAGATTGTAGAGTTTCCCTTTCCCATCAATCACTGAACCTCCAAAAGAAACTCCTTATCTTCCTCCAGGTTCTCCATGGCCTGAGCCTCTAAACTTATCTCCACGTCGATACTCCTCCCTCCTTTCTTCCCCTGATACAAGTACACCATCCCATCAAACTTGTTATTTGATCCACTCCTCACCGTCTCCGGCTTCCCCCACCCGAAATCCACGTCGTACACCTGAAACCTCGGCGAGCTCCCCACTGCCACGCAGTTCACTCCGGCATCTTTATACTGGAACAATTTGGGTGCGCTCTCCCACTCTTTGTTTCGCCCCTCGATCGCCTTGGCATCGTGGGTCTGGATCACTTTCTGCACCATTGAAGCCCCGAACTCCGGCGGGTTCGCCAGCAACAGCCCCGTCGCTGTCACGGTGAACACCGCCTGGATTAAGTTGCCGAAGTAGTCCTCCGACATCGGTGGATCGACCCTTTTCCGGCAATCGACGAACACGGTGAACACCGTGTAGTCCTCCGGCTTCAGGTTGCGCGCTCGTGTGACGGCGCGCCATAAGTGGATTCCCAGCGACTGGAAGGTTGAGAAAGGCTTGCAGCCGTCGGATAGATTAGAGTTGACATCCGATTTGATCTTGTCGATGGCCGACTCCGGGAATCGGAAGATCCGCTCCCGGAGCCGTGGGCCCGGGCTCATATCGGCGAGGGAAGGTATGGATGCCGGTAGATCCAGCTTCACGCGGGTGTCTCTCGCTTTGGTTCGGTCGTGGAAGGGCTGGACCGAAATGGATTTGGCCCCACGACAGATCTCAGCCCAGGAGCTCATGAAATGCCACGTGGAATGACCGTCCAGCACAGCATGGTTGAATGCGCACCCAATGGCTAATCCATCTCTCAACTTGGTGAACTGCACTCAAGATTAGAAAAACGAAAACCCAAGGATGAAATTAATCCCCTTTCTGTTTACCATGCATTTGGAAACTACTGGAAACAACAATCTAATGGACATCACATCCGTCGGATGGGGGCTGTCCTCCTGAGGACATCCGTCGTCTGATCTGAGTTCTGAGACTGTGAGACCGAGATGGACAACTTGATCTCTCTCTCTCTCTCTCTGTTTTATTTTTTCCACAATCTCATCCCTCTCACTCACTCTCACATGCAAATCCACAGATGGAAAAATGCATCAAGCTGAAGAGTGCTAAAACCCTAAAACGAAGGGTTTTGCGAAGGATCGAGATGAAACGTTTACCTGAATGGCCAGCAACGGACGATGAAGCCCCTCTAAGTTCAGGACACCGGAGTAGGGCACGATCTCCTGCACTAAACTCGGAGCTTCATCTTCTTCTAGCTCTGCAACCGCTACCTCCTCCGCCACCGCTTCCACAACCTCCACCCCGACGTTCTCCTCATCACACTCCACCCTCAGAACCCCTTCTTCATCCTTTGCCAGTTTTCCGGCCAACGGATAGAACTCCTCCAGCACTACCGCTAACCCCTCCTTCAGTTTCTCCACCGCCTCCGCAAAGTCAGCCCCTTTGTACACCAACAGCTTCTGGTTGTAGAAGAAGGTCACGTAGGGAAGATCGAATGTGACCAAAGGGCATTCTCGCTTCCCCACTAGCTTCGGGACGACGGTGGCCTTGTTGACGACCTTCACCTTGGAGTTCTCCTTCACCACCACCACCGCTTCTCCATCCTTAGTCCCATTTTCAGCTCCCATGGTTGATTTTCAGACCTCTAAGCACTCACTCAGAAGAAAACTCAAAAGAAAGATTTATTTAAAGCAAAACCCAGAATTGATACTTAAGAAGGTTAAAGCTTTCTGTAGATTTATAGACGAGAAGGATTCATTTCATATGGTTGGACTGCATTTATGATCCCACTGAAACAGATATAGCCCATTAAATACCTCATTCTCTTTCTCGTCGTTGGATCTGGTAGAGAGACAGAGTGATTTGTTTACTCTGATATGGTTAAGGTTAACCATTTTTTTTTTGATAAATTATTTTTGTTAACCTTTTGTTACAGAGAAAAAGGAAAATGTAACTTATTGGTTTGCTGAAAAGCCGAAGTAGACTGAACGTAGAACAACAATAAATACAACACCACCCAAGCTTTCAGTGCTTTCAGTGCTTGCTTTCAATAACTCATTGATGCCAAACTTTAACTTCTCTATAAAATGTTACATAAATTAGAAAAAATAAAATTATTTAGTATATATTGTGATTGGTAAAAAATTAAAAAAACCTAGGGGTGTTTGATACAGTGTTATTGGGTTGTCATTGCATTTAGGATTTGATCATCTATGAGGGTCATTTCAATCAAAAGAAATGTATGTGTGTGAAAAGCATCAAATTTAATGATTTAGGTAGAAATTACAATATGTACTGATAAATTCAAAATGTTTTCAAAACATTTCAGATAGAAAAATGTAATGCCATACTTTATATTGAGTTTATGATCTGTTGAATTTTGTACTAGTTGTAGATTTAAGGGAAATTTTCATATTAGTATGCGGCTGTACTTTTGGGCTTAGACTCACTTTTGTCCCCTGTCAATCCAGTACTTAAATTTTTAAAATATGCCAATTAGTTTCTATTGGTTGTAGTTTGTCAGTTATCTTATCATGTGTTGATATGTACGATTTAAAACTTTTGAAAATATTAAAATTGCACTTTGACCCTGTTCATCATCTTCTTCCTCAGAAATCAAGATTAAACCAAAGCAATAGATGGGTTTTTGATAAATTATTTTTCTCTATTGGCTTCTAAAAAATTTGAGCATTTGGATGGTTGATAAAGAAAATTAGATGATACCCAAAGGAGGTTTTCATCCTTTCATATGTCACTTAATATCAGTTAATGGTTTTGTACTAAATTAACGCATTTTAGAAATTTAGGTATTGAATTGACACATTTTAAAATTTGGAAATCAAAATAAGACTAAACCCAAAATATAAGGTACTAATCTACAATTTTCCCTAAATTTAATTGATGCTTCTTTCATCAATGTCCATGAACAACCATTGTATTTCTTTCTACAAAAAAAAAATAAATAAATCTTGCATTGTATTTCCTCCAAACAAATGGCTTTCAGTTTATAAATTGCTGAGGGGGCAAAGCAAAGCCTATTCACATGGTTAATTAACATGGACCACCTTTTTATGATTAGGGGTTTGCTACTCACTAAGATGATACTCACATGTACCCACAATACACTACAGCCCACATTTGTAACATTTCAATTCAACCCCCGACCATGGACATATTTCAAATGCATGCCTGTAGTATCTTGTGGGTATATGTGAATATTACCTCAATGGGTAGAGGATTCGAGCGCTTTTTAATAGGTTATGTTTGGTTTGAAGGAAAAAATAGGGAAAGAAAAAGAAAGATAAGAAAACTTTTACAAATCTTATAAAAATTTTCCTACCTTTCCCTGCATTTTCCTTCAAACCATAGGATCTACTATCATAAAATTCTCTCACATGGCTACCCACAAGATACTATTATTTCCATATATTAAAAGCATCTCTCCATATTCATACTGAGGGTAGGGACGTGGGAAGAGTTTATAGGCAATAAGTCTTCTTGCATCGAGGGTGATGAGTAATAACTGCATAGTTATGGCTTTGTGTCCTGTGTCTACACAGCTAATTTCCACAAAAAAGTGTGTCCACACAGCTTTATCTTCGCAATTTTCTTTCATCAAGCATATCCAATAATTAAAAGGACGAGTACGAGCATTCCATTTCAAGCCTGAGATTTCGGTGCTATACTTTCCAACAACCCCACCCCACCTACCCATTTTAATGCTGCTACTAGAATCTCAATGAATTAAAGAAGAAAAAGAAGAAGTTCTAATAAACAGAGTTTTGGTGCTGGATTTCGGTGTTCATTGGAGCTATAGACTTAGGCCCCATTTGGTTCGTGGGAATAGGGGTTGAATGGTAATGGGAATGGATTATTCTAATTTCTAACTGTTTGGTTGGGTCGAATCCGAATCTTATATATTTTTATTCCTGCTAGAATAACATTTTCTCATTTGAGAAAATGACCATTCTATACATTTTTTTTGGGAATGAAATCCTATTTCTATTGATTTCAATTTCCATTTTTATTTTTATCTGAACCAAACAAACTATAGAAATGAACCATTCTGATTCTAATTCCGAAGAATTCCGATTCTGATTCCGACTGCAAACTAAAACATGCCCTTTATAATTATTTTTAAAGGATGTTAGAAATTTACATTATGATCACCTTTCTGATTCCAAAGATATCGACATCCAGGCAAATGGAATAGACATAAAAGCTAAGAAATTGGCTGGATGAGCATTTACAATGGTCGTTGATACATCATAACCCTAAAATTCTTTCTTAAAATTATAATTTCAGAGATGGCTCTAGAGTAAGGGCAATCTTGGTTTGTTTTAAGAATTAAGTAGAAGAGACCCGTATGAAACATGAACTAGTATTGATGTTCATGTCCTATAGAGGAGCGATCACATTCAATTTCCTAATAACAAGGAAACTGAATTAGTTGTTAGTGAGTTTAAATAGCTTTATGTTTGATTTTTTTATCAGTTAAAAATTCAAAAAAAAAAATTATAAAACTCTGAAGTTTTTACATTGAGAAACAATATACAGAGGAAAGAGAATAATCTGGCATGGACAAATCACTCCTTATTAATCATTCCATTAACTCTTTCTCCTAACAAATCACTCCTTATTCTTTTTGTTTTTTTTTCTTTTTTTTTACATAAATGCATATATATTTATATAATTTTAAAATGGATTCATTGACCAATTTGAGCCTGGCCCAGGCCCGAGCCCAACCCGAGTGAATCAAATTACAATGTGGACTGGGCTCAGGTTGGGAGGACTAGGCTTGACCTCGGGCTTGGTCAAAGCTCAAGCCTTATACCCAAATTTTAGGATCGGGCCTAGATTGACCACAAACCCGGCCCAATTTGCTCGACATGCACCCCTATAAAAAACAAATGAGGGTCAACCCAATCACTCGTATAGGTGACCATTTGACTATTTTTAAAGTATTAATTATTAAACTACTTAGTTAATTAATGATAACACAATTAAGTCATTAATTGATAGGAATGGCAACGGGGCTAGTTCGGGGTGGGAATTATATTTCCAGTCCCCGACCCCAATTATAAAATTGACCCTCGTCCCCATCCCCGGACCCCGTCAAGGATAAAATCTGTCCTCCATCCCCGATCCCCAACGGGGATGGGTTCCCTGTGAGGACCCGAATCCCTGCAATTTTTTTAGATAACAGTATTTTTTTGAAAAATAACTTTACTTATAATAAATAAAAAATTTAAATTATAAATAATTTTTTTAAATAACTTTACTCAATCCCCATCCCTTACTCCAACCCTGATCGGGGATTCCTACTAATCCCCGTCTTCATCCCCGCCTCGCCAAAACAATCCCCATCCTCGCCCCCATCGGGTCGGGGAAGTCGGGTCCAGCCGGGGATGGGGAAAATTGTCATCCCTATTAATTGCATAAATCTTCAATTAGTAAACTTCAAAATAAATAATTTTAATTCAATTTATTTCATTGACTTAATTAAAGCCATTACCTTAATTAATTAACTTTGTTACCTTCATTAAATTAAATTAACTAATTAAGATTAATTAATTAGTTATTAGTTAACTTTTTGTATGTCGAACCTATATAGGGTTATTTAATCAATTATTTTTATTTATTTAACTTACTTTTGTCAATTAAAGTAGGAAATTCTTAATTAAGCTTCTTAATTACATTAATTAACTTAACAAATTTAGTTAACTGAGAAAATGATTATATAGTTAAAAACGTTAACTATATAATAAGATAATTATATAATCAGTTAACTAGTTATATATTAATTACTAAAGCTTACTTATTTAGTTAACTAATTAATTAATAGCATAATAAAATAGTTAACTGATTAAGTTAATAATGCAATAAAAATTATAGATAAAAATAATATGAATTAAAAAATTATTTTAATATTTTTTATTAATACAAGATTTTATTTAAAATGAAGTTAATACAACTTAATAATTTTTTATTAATAAAACAAAAAAAGTAAGAAAATTTTAGTTTCAAAATTAAAAAACAACAACAATTATTAGTTTTAGACTTAATTATTATTAACTTAAAATCCCCTAATCCATTTAAAAATAACAAAAGTTAATACTAAATAAAAATTTAGTAAAAGTTAAAACAATTTAATAAAAAATAAAAACTAATACAATTAGGAATGTCACAATGCTCCTTCTTGGGATACAACTTGGGTGGGTTTGATTGGATTAAGGGTCAACCCAAGCTCAACTCTAAGTCTCGAATCTCAAGCTCAGGCTTAGAACAACTCAAGGTTAAACCTGAGTTGGGGTTAAGGGGCTCAAGCTACCCAAGACCAACCTGAGTTTAAGTTAGGCCTGAGTTTTTAGCTCAAGCCCATCTTGAAGTTCGAAAACTCAAACCCAACCTGTGCTAAAGCTTTATTGAGTCAGATTGGGCTCGGGTCGGGCCCATCCAAGTTGCACTGCCTAACTCCTTTTGGCTTAAGGGCATGTTTGGTTGGAAGGAGTAGTAGGGGTCTGGGATTGAAATCGGAATGGGCAATTAGATTTCAATCGTTTGGTTGGGCAGAATCAGAATCTCATTCCCCTTCCTAGTGGAATGGCATTCCCCCATTTGAACGAATCCCTCTTTTGGGAATGAAATCCCATTCTGACTAATTTCAATTCTCATTCTGATTCCTATTTGAACCAAATAGACTATGGATATAGACTATTCCAATTCTGATTCTAATATATTTTGATTCTAATTCCAACAGTGAAGCAAATGGACCCTAA